AACATAATCCAATTTTTCCATTTAAACCACAAAACTATAGCCTACTATCAGTTTATTAAAGGTGACTCTTTAGTCCTCTAGAAAACCTAATAAAATTGACAAAATATACAAAATGCATGAAAACTATTTAAAGTGTTATTGTTAATATTTCATTAATAATTAAATTCATAATTTTTTTGACTATGTATACTGATGAATGAAAAAGCATATATATATCAACATGAGTTCTAATGACTGAAAGCCACATTTATCTTTAATTTATTTTTTTTGTTGCTACATGTACACAAACATTAAAAGACAAATAAATGGTGAAAATATCATCAATCAAATGTGTGGTCCTATTTGACTTTGTGAACAGTACGAAGTAATTCTACAAGCTTTGATGTAAATAATGTTTAACCCTGCCTTATGATTGTAAGTGGCCATTGCTGTCACTCTATACTTTCTGTCAACAGTGAATATTATACCAATGTTTGTGGGTTACAGCCACTTGACTTGATTTAAAAGTCAATCACAGTAGAACACTGAATATATAATCATGACCTTACTTTAGTTTGTTTACACAAGATTGCAATGCTTTTTGGGAAATCATAAAATTCAATTTTGTCTTTTTTCTTTATTCAATATAAAATTGTTAGCCTATGAAATAAATTTTGCATTTAAATCTAAGCCCTTGGTCAAAAAACTTCTCTTAGTTCTTGGAGTAAAAAAATTGTGCTCAAAGCAACAAATCCAGTAATTTGATTGGTTGAATTCTGGGTCTGAGTTCGATAATCTTACTCCAAAGTTTTAGGACCACAACATTTTACAATGTGATAAATTCATTTATGGGGTACACTAGAACTATCTTAAAATTTTCCCCATGGCTTTAATTTATTAATTATTTAATTTAATATTTAAAGAACAATTCATTACTGGATATTTTTTTCCAACATACAATGTACATTAAGAGTACAATGACAATGTTTATTTGGCTTTAAATCATAACAATATGGGTTGGAACTAGCCCAATTATCACCTGACTTATAGAACAACACCTGCTTAATTATCTAAGTTACTGTGTCACTTAATAATTAACATGACATACTTTGTCAGATGTCCAAGATGGTTGGACATCAAATTAACACATACATAAATATAAACTCAACCTGTCATGTAAACATTGCATCATTCTTAAAATAAAACTTTAAATATATAAACCCTAATTGTGGTGAAAAATTGCGTTAAGTAAATTACTTTAAGTAAATTATATTAACTATTTATTTTTGGTAGTTCATAGTCATCAAGCCCTTTCACAATACAATTGTGTCTACAGTTCCTTTCCATTGGGAGGGCCTCGATGGCTGAGTGGTCTGAGAAGTCGAACTACTGTATCACTAGCTTGTCAACACTGAGACTGTTGGTGGCAGGTTGCGCTTGACTCTAATCTTAATTGACTAGGATTGTCAGTTTTCCTACCCAAGATCAGTGGTCACTCCGGGGACTCTAGCTTCCTCTACCAATAAAAACTAACCACCACAGGGCTCGACAATAACGCTTGTCCGATTGTCCGGTACCAGAGGAAACAAAGGTCGGACAAGTTAAAGCTATATCAAGCTTGTCCGACGGGACAAGTAAAATTATTCTGCAGAAAATAAATGTAATCCAACTTTGATGAACAAAGTAATTATAAAGAAAAAACAAGAAAAGAACATAAAAACAAGTATTAATTTGACATGTTTACTTGCAATCGATAATTTAAAACTGGTTCTTTGTCAGGTACTTTTTAACAGGTTCTCGGAAACCAGTCTTACTGATCCAATATGCTGCGCTTTGTAGATAAGGTAACTTTACAAGACAGTTCATCACCAGCTCGGAAGCGATTCGGCTCCAAGTTTAATAGACAGTTTGGCACCGTAGGAGACATATTCAATAAACATAATTAATAGACAGTTTGGTAACGCAGGAGACATTTCAGGACCAAGACAAATCAGTACCTCGTTTTCCAACCTTATTCTGTTGCTTTATAACAAATACCATACCGGTAATTTTTTTAGCAAAAATATTTTTAAAATAAAAATGACCATAACATTCACAAAATCATATTTGATCATATGTCATGTATGTAGAAAAAAACAATACTTGCAATACGGTGACCTATAGTTGTTAATTTCTGTGTCATTTGATCTCTTGCAGAGAGTTGTCTCATTGGCAATCATACCTCATCTCCTTTTTTTTATTGATTGCATTAAATAAACTTTTTTCAAATTAAAAAACCAGGATACAAATCCAATGAGTGTACATTGGCAATCCTATCAGACGGTGCCTCATGTGCAGAGTCTGATGAGACTTTGGCATTGATGAAAACTAGAACCTTAGTCCTTTGACATGACTAGATTCAGTTGTTCTCGACTCATATTTTTGTAAAGTATTGCAAAAGATATGTTAAAATCAAATTCTGTTCTATTGTTTTAATTCAATCAACTTAAAATGCAAAAAAGGTTATTATTAAGATTTTTTTTGGACAAGTTACAATTTCATTCGGACAAGTAAGTCTTGGTATGTACTTGTCCTACTGGACAAGTTGAAAAAAAAGTTATTGTAGAGGCCTGCACCACCAAATAGCACAATAGTGCTGAAAGTGGCGTTAAACACCAATCAATCAATCAATCCTTTCCATTGGGAAATATTATAGCTACAATGTCATAATTCTCTATTAACAAACAATTTTCAATTTAGTTTGATGCAAATTAGAATTGTGTTAATAGTCTATCCTTGTAACAACAGGAAATTCATTATCTTTCATGTGGACTGGTACTTTTTTTATTCGTAAAAGTACTTTTCTATAGTTTCAATGAATACTATAGTTATAAAAATTCCTCAATTCAGGTGGTATTAATGAGAAGGGTAGAATAGTAAAACTATCAAGTACACATCTTAATGAAAGGCCCGTAAAATAACTTACTTTTAAACGTATATATGATGATATACTTAAAATTGTTTTATAAAAAGTTCATTTTCAAATAATTCTTAATAATATTTAATGAAGCTTAAGACTAAACTACAGCTGCCGCACCATATGTAAGTATTATTCAATTCTAACTTGAAGAACACATAAAATGACATTCAAAGTTTCCCATATTCTGCCAATGCAATTGTTAGCCTCAAACAACATTATAAAAAGAATTAAACTCTCAAAATCAAGGAGTAACAACACTTCAAACAAATTTCAGTCTATATTTAATGCCATATTTGTTCTTCATTGTGCAAATATGACCCATGAACTGAATAACTCCTGACCACAACAGAATACAAACAAAAATTGTCCCTACAAGTTGACCACTGTATTGAATACACACAAAAGAGAATTAATCCATTATTTTAAGTAATATAAATAGTCTTTTGTTCAATTTAAATCTAACTTCACTAACACCATACTTAAACATTTACAAAAGTGTTAAGCTGTAGAATTCATACAACTACGGCTGAAATATAGTGAGTTAGTATGTTAATATCTCAAATTTTCCAAATCTAAATGAGCAAGTGTTATATTGTTTTCAAAAAACAATCCTCCGCAAGATATAAAACAAGAGTGCACACGCTGAAATGTCTCGCCTTCTATACTGACCATAGATTTTATGTTGATAGTCCTACATATAAAGTTTTACTACAAGTATCACATTAACATTTATGATCCAAGAAAATGAGGTAAAGGTCAGATAAACCAAGGCGGAAATACATGTACACCTTTAATACAATCATTCCATACACAGAATATAGATGACATATTGCTTATAGTATAAAAGAAACAGACCAAATCATGCAAATTCTATATTGACCAATGATCCATGAAAATGAAGTCAAGGTCAAATGAACCCTGCCAGACAGACATGTACACCTTAAAATCATTCCATGCATCAAATATATTGGACCTATTGCTTACAGTATCTAAGAAACAAAGCTAACCAGGAAAACTGAATATAAGCAATGAACCATGAAAATGAGGTCAAAGTCAAATAAAACCTGCCAGACTGACATGTTACTTTGTACATTGTAAAATATTTCTATACATCAAATATAGTTGACCCACTGCAAACAGTATTAGAATAACAGACCAAAACACAAAAACTTAACTATTACCACTGAACCATGAAAATGAGGTCAAGGTCAGATGACACCTGCCAGTTGGACATGTACACCTTACAATCATTACATACACCAAATATAGTATTGCTTATAGTATATGAGATATGGACTTGACCACGAAAACTTAACCTTGTTCACTAATCCATGAAATGAGGTCGAGGTCAAGTGAAAACTGTCTGACAGACATGAGGACTTTGCAAGGTACGCACATACCAAATACAGTTATCCTATTACTCATAATAAGAGAGAAATTAACATTACAAAAAATCTTAACTTCTTTTCAAGTAGTCTCTGAACCATGAAAATAAGGTCAAGGACAATGGACATATGACAGACAGCAACTTCATAACATAAGGCATCTATATACAAAGTATGAAGCATCCAGGTCTTCTACCTTTTGAAATATCAAGCTTTTAAGAAGTTAGTTAATGCTGCCGGATCACTATCCCTATGTCGAGCTTTCTGAGACAAAAGTCGCAGGCTCGACAACTAGACCATCAGACCTTATATGTGTTCCACACTGACTGATAAACCAACTGTTATGTGTACCACACTGACTAATAAACCAACTTTTATGTGTTCCACACTGACTGATAAACCAACTTTTACGTGTACCACACTGACTGATAAACCAACTTTTACTTGTACCACACTGACTTACCAGAAGTGATTTTAAATGAAAAGTAATACACAGTTCAGTAAAATGATAACCTTAGTTTTAGTACAAACAAATTGCTAGATTTATAACAGATGATTTGTAAAATTTTCATCATTTTTTCTTAAACAGTATACTCATTACTGAATTTTATTACTGAAAAAATATTTTCAAAAACAAATCATGATCTAGACCTCGCTATTCGGTTGGAGATTCTTACCCCCACCATTACTGTATGCCAAGTACGGAAATCTCCAAACATTTCCCAATCCAACAGAGTATCCCAGGAGGTACATCAAGAAGTCCAACCTTCCTGACCAATTGTCTCTCTCAACTTCCTCCCCAACAAGGTCATCATCAAGAGGGGTCAGGACAGCCGTACTGGAAACCTCCTGCACCAACGATTCATTGGGATTCTGAAATTTTTTTTTAGCAATTTTAATGAAAATGAATTACTGTTCCTTCAAGGAATATTTTTAACAAGGAAAATTCTTATATTCTTTAATTCTATAAATCATATATTTACAAACCATTTCCATCAATAATATTTTGGCAGATGTGAATTAATCTTCTTTTTTTTCAGTTAAGGCATATAAAAAAAATAATTCTTAACTATCTAACATTTCTTGAAATGTATTACCAATTATGATAATATAACCTTAACAGTTAACTGAAAGATCTACCATTACAGATCTTCATGTATATGAATTAAAAATAATTTAGAAAGGCTCTTTCATGATTTTTTCAAATTTGTTTCTTTTTTTAGTTGTTTAAGTGATTGTGCAAATCAGTCTTATCACAGACGATTATCTGATTTCCCTTTAACAAAGGTGTGGGGGGGGGGGGGGGGGGGGGCTTCTGAAAATCAAAATAAAAAGGTGAGGGAGTTAATACAAAAAGAAAAGAGAAAAGAAAATGAACTCCTCAAATATCTTGAACCTATTCATAATGTTAAAATATATGTTTCCAAGCAACTAATCAGACTGAAAAAATATAATTGTAAACACAATATTAAGTCCAAAAAAAATATAACTATTTACCTTAATTTTGCCAACTGTCATTTTGATGCATAAACCAACCAGTAGCCAAAGTTAGGAGAAAAGTAACTTAATTTCATTTTTGTCTTTTGTAATTTATATCTGTCTAGACAAAACATGACAAAATAGATAAAAATTGAGGAATGTTGGACAAATTAAAAAATAACAAAAGTCAGCATAACTGTTGTCTTTTAAAAAAAGATCTGAAATTGAATATAAGGCAATAGATATAACTAGATCCCTACTCCTTACAAATTATGTGTCTAGTAACAGTTGGGGGTCATACTTTTACCGGACATTCAACTACAATGACCTGTCCATTTGTGAAGGTCTATGTCCAGGTTATTGATTCTTAAATCCTTCATTGGGAAAATAACATTTTTTTCTTCTTTTTCAATATATATCAATTCCTGAACAATTAATTATAGCAGCAGTACTTTGTCCCTTTTTTTAAAATAAATAGAAGACAAGGTGAAAACACTAGTGTAGATACACTGAAAGGCCTGGAGTTTTAGAAATCCAAAATCTCCTCAAAGTTAGATGATCCAACCTCTGTGCTTAAGCTAACATGTTTTGCAGGGTAGTGTAACCTATAAAATTTACTCTGACAATGTAGAGCCCTGTACATTGTTTTATAAAATGTGACCTGAGAGTTAGAATCAAATCCATTGATTGACAGTGGAATGGTCTCTAGTGGTCTCATGAAAGCATGCTCACCTAGAGTGCTTACAAAAATATTTGAAGTTTTTACATGTTTCATTATCAACCTAAGTAACCCAAAAGAATTAAATTAATTACTATATCATCATCCTGTGGTCCAGTATAGTCATTGTCTTTATACCATGCCACGCCCCATTTGTTCTTGTTCTTTTCTGAATCTGACTCATGGTGGTATTTTTCTGTTCCTCTCTGCAAAAAAAAATTGAAATCTGACAAATTCTGAGAAATATGAATCTAATGCAATGTTTTATACTCCTAGGAAGTCAGTTGATAGAAATTTGAGAACCTTACCATGGTAATACTGCTCATCTGTCAAAACCTCAAATTAATCAATCCAATGTAAAAAAAAATGCTTCGCCAAGCACAGCTGGATACGACCGCAGAGGTCCAACCATGAACAGTTGGGGCAAAAATGGACACAATATTCAAGCTTGATACAGGTCTGAATTTGGATTGTAATTAAATATTTGACACATTATAGGTTTCTGACACAGAATAAATGTAGTCAAAGAACTTGAAATTGGTTATATGATTTGAATTTATATTCAATTGAAGATTTCTTGCTGTTGTGCAATACTTTGTAAATCTGTTCTCAGACTATATACAAAGAATTAGCAAAATAAATTGTGACCCCTAACTTTTCTTGGGAAAATTGACAATTTCTTAAATCTTGAGGGAAAAAAAATTTACCCCCTCCCCCCAAAAAAAAAATTTTGTTTACCTCCCCCTCCCCTCCTTTTCCCAAAAAAATAATATTTGAAGAAATTTTCTTTTTAATTTCTTAAATCTTGAGGGAAAAAGATGCCTCCCCTTCCCTCCAAAAAAAATAACATTTGAAGAAATTTTCTTTTTGTAAAATGTGGTACAATTTAAGAGACATCCATACACTTAAACACAAGCTATTGTCTGAAAACTAGAAAAATGCTTGTTTTAGACCTTTTTGGCCTCTAATTCCTGAACAGTTTGAGCAATTACCCCCAAATTGAATCCCAACCTTCTACTTGTGGTTTTGAACCATTCGGTTTTCATTCGGGTCCTCTCTAATTTTTCCTCATATGAATCGAGGATTAACAAGGTCCCGTTTGCGCTTGAAATCGCGGGAATTTTAATGGTAAAAGCATGCAGAAGAAGAAAAATAAAAAAAATTATTTTGACAAATTTTTATGCAAATGGCGGAAATCGAAAAAGACGCTGTATATATGGAAATATTTCAGCATTTCTATGGCGAAACTGACAACAAGGAATAGTTAAAAGGTTTCTTGTTTTTCCTGTTATCTCAATGTGTTAATTACATTCAATTCGTGTGGGAAATATGATTTGGTCGATCTTTACGAGATGTAGAAAAAGGGGGGGGAAACGGAGGTTGACTGAAAATTTTGAGGACAGAGCCACTTAAATGCGCCACATTTACATTATCCGCTGTATATGGTGCAAATACGCTACGGAATCTAGCAACTGGTGTCTTCTTTGTTATATGGCAGATAAAACAACAAAATAAATGAAGATTAAAAGTTGTTTTTATTCAAAATTCAACACAAATACAATAATTTACACCTTTTACCTGTTAATTACCTGAAAATGCAGGTAGCTTGATGAAAATTTTACTAAAATAATTGCATAACATTACAGTTCATGCTCTCCTGAGCATTTTTCATGCACTAACTTTGTCTGTATCTCTAATAATAAAAAAGATACAGCAGTCTGAAAAGGAATATACTGTTCTAACAAATGAACACAAAAAAAATGCAGCAGCAGCAGCCATTTTTCTATTTTTTTGTGTAGTGTTGAAAGGGTTAAGTGCTCCCAAAGGGTATACAGATCCAGCTCCACAAGTGGCACTCACGTTCTCAACATAAACATTTGCCACATAAGAGTTAAAATCAACAGCCTAAAACAACTATAAAGTCAGTAGGATGTCAGACTTTTTAGAATGGACAGCAACCTGGCTACATACACTCAGACAGTTGGTTGTCAAAAGAATGGACAAACTCAGCAACCTGGCTACATATATACACTCAGACAGTTGGTTGTCAAAAGAATGGACAAACTCAGCAACCTGGTTACATACATACACTCAGACAGTTGGTTGTCAAAAGAATGGACAAGCTCAGCAACCTGGCTACATACATACACTCAGACAGTTGGTTGTCAAAAGAATGGACAAGCTCAGCAACCTGGCTACATACATACACTCAGACAGTTGGTTGTCAAAAGAATGGACAAACTCAGCAACCTGGCTACATATATACACTCAGACAGTTGGTTGTCAAAAGAATGGACAAGCTCAGCAACCTGGCTACATACATACACTCAGACAGTTGGTTGTCAAAATAACGGACTAACTCAGCAACCTTGCTACATACACTCAGACAGTTGGTCGTCAGAAGAATGGACAAACTCAGCAACCAGCTGGCTACATACACTCAGACAGGGTTGTTAGAATAATGGACAAACTCAGCAAACTGGCTACATAAACTCATAGAGTTGGTTGTCAGAAGAATGGACTAACTCAGCCATCTGCCATGATCTGGTTGCATACACTCAGACAGCTGGTTGTCAGAAGAATGAACAAACTCAGTAACCTGGCTACATACACTCAGACAGCTGGTTGTCAGAAGAATGGACAAACTCAGAAATCTATTTACATACACTCAGACAGCTGGTTGTCAGAAGAATGAACAAACTCAGTAACCTGGCTACATACACTCAGACAGCTGGTTGTCAGAAGAATGAACAAACTCAGTAACCTGGCTACATACACTCAGACAGCTGGTTGTCAGAAGAATGAACAAACTGAGCAACCTGGATACATACACTCAGACAGTTGGTTGTCAGAAGAATGGACAAACTCAGAAATCTACACTAAGACAGCTGGTTGTCAGAAGAATGGAAAAAAAAAGCAGAGTATTGACATTTTGATAATTTTACCACATAAAAGATGTATTCAACAGATTGACTGGTACATTAAAATTCCACAAAGATCATTTCTAAACCAACTGAACATAAAGATGAGAAAACAGAAAATTGATGAGAGAAAATTTGTCATACATTGTCACTGCAGTTCATTGTTTCACTCTAGTCTCAGAAAAGTGAGTGTACAAACTTATCATTATGTATATTCCCTTAAAAGATCCCTGGAAAAAAAGACAATAAAATAGCCTGTGCCAAATAAAAACAATCCCAACTGATCAGTTTAAAAACATTTGATATCGTGTAAATAAAATGTCTAAATATGGTTGAACACCCCTAAAATAGCTACATTTATATGCCATATTTTTCCCCTTTGTATGACAAAACATCATGGGAGATTTACGTTAATACAGATAGTCTAGACACAGTAAACCATCACTCAAAGTACATACTTGATTCTCACAGCTACAATTGGAAACTAATAAGAATGCAGTGTAATCAGTTGTTTTATTATTTTCCTCAAGTAACATCTGAAAATAATCATTGCACACCAACTGGAAACAGATCAATATTTTATGTACAACAGATTTAATTTTTGACATATCTAAAAAAATCTTTCCAGCATTTATAAGAAACTGGAGAACTTTAATTCATAAGTATCAGCATTAGTCTAAAAAATTATCTGAATATGCAAAATATTCAGAAACTTTTTCATATCTTCTGTTCAGGGACATTTGAGGAATGTATACAATAAAAATAATATGACATTTTATAAAGACATGAATAAAAGGTAAATGTACCATACTAATATTAACATGCCAATTATGTGATATCTCTCTCAATCTAATGTCACCATTATCATACTCACAAGTTTATATTTGATTAGAAGACCATTTAATTTTTACCAGAATTAAATTTATACATACTACATGTACTATATCCTTTACCATATGCATGATTCTGAAAAATTCTGTGAATTAGAATATGATACTTTGCCATTTTATATATATATGTACTTCCAACACAAAGTCATTTGAGGACAAATGTTCTAGTTTCTGACATTAAAGGTATGAAATAAGATTTTTTTTGAAGAAATTAGATATACATTGTAAATATATATATAGAGAAATTTCCGGAATATTGTATGTAGGAGGGTAAAGAAGAGGGATTAACGATTGTACTAATCTTCAAGGTATTTTCTACAAACAAAAATTTAAAGTTAAATACTGACTAGTTAGAGGATTATCTCTTCAATGAATCCTCATGGGGACAAAGATTGGTGATCAAGTCTTTCATTTAGTCCTGAGAAGGTATAGCCACTTCCTAATGAAAGTGGTAGTGGGTAAACTGTCATTAATGTACATTCCTACAGCCAAACAGACATGGTTGTGCATTCTCACAGCCAAATGGACATGGTCCTATATTCCCACAGCTAAACACATTTGACATGGTTGTGTATTCCCAAAGCCAAACAAACATAATAATTGTGTATTCCCAAAGCCAAACAGACATGATTGTGTATTCCCAAAACCAAACAGAAATTATTGTGTATTCCCAAAGCCTACAGACATAATTGTGCATTCGCAACATAATTGTGTATTCCCAAAGCCAAACAGACATTCTTGTGCATTCTCACAGCCAAACAGACATAATAAGCCAGACATAGATGTGTATTCCCAAAGCCAAACAGACATGGTTGTGCATTCTCACAGCCAAATGGACATGGTTGAACATGTGTATACAAACTGTCAGCATAAGTACCTGAAAGGGTTTTGTGCATTCAGAGAGCAAAACATATTCTATCAAGTATTTTTATAAAAGATGAGCCAGGCCTGTGAGTCAAAACCTATTTCATGAATATGAAATGGAATAATAAGATAATCTACATCATCTTACACACTACACAAGTTCAAGTCTCAACAGGCTGAATTCAGAGGTCAAATAAAGTTCACTTTTCAGCTACAACACAAGTTTGTTACATTTGAATTCAAACAAAAGGTTGATTTATGTGAATTTAAAAGGTTAGAATTTCTTTGGATTCATTCATTAATTTCTGGAGGAGTGTGTAACATGTCTAACCATATATATATTTACTATAAACTAGACCTCCACGTAAAATGTCACATTTTCTCATTATGGACTTGTCTAAACATCTGACATATACCATTACATTTATAGCCTTTTTTTATATTTTCATGTACATGTACTTGGAGATTAATTAAATAAATAGAGAATGGGACAATGTCTATATAGTTTTTTTTGTGTTCTTTAGTTCCTATCTCGTTTTCCCCTCACCCCCTTTACAACCCCAATCCTTTTGTTCCTATACTGATTTAGGAGTGTAACATTCAACTGTTTTCCTGAATTCAACTTGCCATATGTTGCCTTTTCTAACACTATTTCTCTACAGTGGCCGATATAAATATATAGTGATGGGCAAGGGGAGTCTGTCCATCTGTCCATCCCTTCAACTTTTGTATCTGTAACTGATCCTGAACATCTAGACAGAATTTTGTGACACTTTTACTAACATATCTTTTAAATGTTTTTGCACATTCGTTTTAATATTCATCAGAATTATTTTTGGGGTTTACTTTGGGATGACATGGACTCTGTCATATTTGCACCCTATAGAACACATTTGTATCTGTTTCTCCTGAACCTCCAATCATAATTTATCAAAACTTTTTCAGAATCTTAACCATATATGCCGTAGTGCAAATCCTACTTAGTTTTTTGGTCTAAATAATTTTGGCTGTTTCCCTTACCAAAGCATGGATATTGAAAGTAGGGGTATCATTTTGTGAGCTTTACTCCGAGAACTTATAGTTTAAGGCTGTCACTAAATAATTAAATAGATCTCCTTCAAGAAAACTAAATATAATAAAATGCTCCGCAGGGCGCAGCTTGATACGACCGCAGAGGTCGAACCCTGAACAGTTGGGGCAAGTATGGACACAACATTCAAGCTTGATACAGCTCTGAATTTGGATTGTGATTAAATATTTGACACAGCATAGGTTTCTGACACAGAATGAATGTGGTCTAAGAACTTAAAAATTTTAAATTGGACATTCACCTATTATGGTCCAATATCCAAAATCTAAATACATGGTTAGATTCAGCATATCAAAGAACCCCAAGAATTCAATTTTTGATGAAATCAAACAAAGTTTAATTTTGGACCCTTTTGATCTCAATGTGGACAAAAATGATAACAGGGCCCAAAAATCAAAAATCTAAATACATGGTTAGATTCAGCATATCAAAGAACCCCATATATTCAATTTTTGTTGAAATCAAACAAAGTTTAATTTTGGACCCTGATTTGGACCAACTTGAAAACTGGGCCCATAATCAAAAATCTAAATACATGTTTAGATTCAGCATATCAAAGAACCCTAAAAATTCAATTTTTGTTAAAATCAAACTAAGTTTAATTTTGGACCCTTTGGACCTTTATGTAGACCAATTTGAAAACGGAACCAAAAATTAAGAATCTAAATACACGGTTAGATTTGGCATATCAAAGAACCCCAATAATTCAATTTTTGATGAAATCAAACAAAGTTAAATTTTGAACCCTTTGGACTTCAATGTGGACCAATTTAAAAACGGGGCCCAAAATCCAAAAACTTAATACACGGTTAGATTCAGCATATTACAGAACCCCATATATTCAATTTTTGTTGAAATCAAACAAAGTTTAATTTTGGACCCCGATTTGGACCAACTTGAAAACTGGGCCCATAATCAAAAATCTAAATACATGGTTAGATTCAGCATATCAAAGAACCCCATATATTCAATTTTTGTTGAAATCAAACAAAGTTTAATTTTGGACCCCGATTTGGACCAACTTGAAAACTGGGCCCATAATCAAAAATCTAAATACATGGTTAGATTCAGCATATCAAAGAACCCCATATATTCAATTTTTGATGAAATCAAACAAAGTTTAATTTTGGACCCTTTTGATCTCAATGTGGACAAAGTTGATAACGGGGCCCAACAATCAAAAATCTAAATACATGGTTAGATTCAGCATATCAAAGAACCCCATATATTCAATTTTTGTTGAAATCAAACAAAGTTTAATTTTGGACCCCGATTTGGACCAACTTGAAAACTGGGCCCATAATCAAAAATCTAAATACATGGTTAGATTCAGCATATCAAAGAACCCCATATATTCAATTTTTGTTGAAATCAAACAAAGTTTAATTTTGGACCCCGATTTGGACCAACTTGAAAACTGGGCCCATAATCAAAAATCTAAATACATGGTTAGATTCAGCATATCAAAGAACCCCATATATTCAATTTTTGTTGAAATCAAACTAAGTTTAATTTTGGACCCTTTGGACCTTTATGTAGACCAATTTGAAAACAGAACCAAAAATTAAGAATCTAAATACACGGTTAGATTCGGCATATCAAAGAACCCCAATAATTCAATTTTTGATGAAATCAAACAAAGTTAAATTTTGGACCCTTTGGACCTCAATGTGGACCAATTTAAAAACGGGGCCCAAAATCCAAAAACTTAATACACGGTTAGATTCAGCATATTAAAGAACCCCAAGAATTCAAGAATAAAACCCCATTGAAATTGATCAAGAAATAAGCAATTTATACGAAGTATCTTCTTTTGCACAATACTGTGCAATTGATTATTTCTTGCTATTGCGCAATACAGTACAATTGACAATTTCTTGCTATTGCGCAATATTGTGCTATTGGATATTTCTTGCTATTGCGCAATACTGTGCAATTGAAGATTTCTTGCTATTGCGCAATACTGTGCAATTGAAGATTTCTTGCTATTGTGCAATACTGTGCAATTGAAAATTTCTTGCTATTGCACAATACTTATTATATAATAATTTACACATCCTGTTTGGTGTGTATCTCCTAACATATCATTATTATTTGCTTTTAAATATAAATCAGAAATAACCAACTTAAAATGGAAAATTTTAAAAGAAAAAAAAAAGGAAAAAAAGAAAAAAAAAAGAAAAAAAAAAATCCCCCCCCCAAATTTTTTGAACCCCCTTATGATTCATCACCCCCAAACTCAATCTCAGCCTTCCCTTTGTGGTATGGTACCTTGCAGTACAATTTCAGAGAGATCCATACACTTGAACACAAGTTATTGTCTGGAAACTAGAAAAATGCTTATTTTTGGCCCCTTTTTGGCCCCCAATTCCTAAACATTTCGGGCAATTACCCCCAAACTCAATTCCAGCTTTCCCTCTGTGATATGGAACCTTGTAGTACAATTTCAGAAATATCCAAACACTTACACACAAGTTATTGTCATGAAACTAGAAAAATGCTTGTTTTTTGCCCCTTTTTTGGCCCCTAATTCCTAACATTTTGAGGCAATTACCCCCAAAATCAATTACAGCCTTCCCTTTGTGATATGGAACCTTGTGGTACAATGTCAGAGAGATCCATACACTTACACACAAGTTATTGTCTGGAAGTTACAAAAATGCTTATTGTTGGCCCCTTTTTGGCCCCTAATTCCTTAACTGTTGGTACCATAACCCCCAAAATCAATCCCAACCTTCCTTTCATGGTATTGAACCTTATGGTAAAATTTCATGGAGATCCATTCACTTAAACTAAAGTTAGAGTGCGAAAACCAATGTGTCTTCGGACGACGCCAGACGACGCCGGACGACGACGACGACGACGACGACGCCAACGTCATACCAATATACGACCAAAAAATTTTCAATTTTTGCGGTCGTATAAAAAATATTGTTGTGATCAAATGAAAAAACTGCGGAAATTATGTATAACCTCCCTCATGTGTAGCTTTTGTTTTCTTACAAGGGTTAATTCTGTTCAAGACAGATCCATTTAGCTTGCCTTATTCATCTCTAGACTTTCTTGACTTCAACATTTTATTAGGTTTTAGATTTCTAAATATTTTGGCATCATTCATCCCTGAGATCGTTTTGCTTAATTGTACATTCATTTTTGTACATATGAATAATCAAAATGCATAAGCCTTTTAAAGCAATGAAGGTCAAAATGTATTACACAGAATTCAAATATTTTCTTTGTGTGACACCAACTTAATAAGAAAATGAAAACGTATAGTGCAATTTATATATAAAAATTAGTCAATTAATTCTAGCAGAAATAACTTCCTCTGACCTTGAACTTTCCATACAATGTTACACACAGCAACCAGACCATCTAAAAGTTATTTCCCCTTACCTCACCCTGGTTTTCTTGTGAACTACCTTGAATGTCCTCCATCAGAGGAGTTCCAGCGGCAATATCAGGTATACTGCGATTTGTGTTTTCGTTTTTGTAAAATCTATCAATTTTTACGTGTCCATCACTTCTTGAACGATTCTGTTTAAAATCTGCCATTAATCAAAGCTTACAACAAAGTTTATTCCGCTTACTTCATGCATTTGCTTGAGTCCATATACATGTAAACTTTTAAAAAAAAACCTGGAATCTGTTCAACTAATGATGTAAACAAAGAATGATGCAATGTTAAAATTATTCCACCTTAGCTGAAACTCTTCCAAAAAATCCTATCAAAAAAGGTTCCCATTCTGGCATTCAATTCAAGATTAATAACTATTGATTAATTATTGACCCTTGACTAAAATTGTAGAGGGGCTTTTTGAAGGGGTCATCCAAATTATAACATCTTAAATACATATCAACCTAACACCAAAATGTATTTTAATGTAGTATACATGTATATATTGAAAAATTAAGGCATTATTGTGTGTGTATATATATGTCAAGACGTCATACCTATTTTTCTATTATGACATTTTTCTAAAATGAAACGATGCTTATCAAGCTTGAATAGAATTAAAACTAAACTTATCATTTTTAAAATTTGACTGTAAATAGGACTTATGTCCAGTTAAACACAAAAGGCTAATCTTTGGACATTTAACTGTATATTTCATACAAAGATTTATGTTATAATCAGATTGAAGTTTTCAAGTTTTTCAATAGAATAACCTCAAACCCAAATCAAATATATGTTTCTTACTATCATGACTATCTACTACATGTAAATAGCATATTATTTTTCTGCAATACCTTACTTGTTTTATATCATGAAAACATATTGGCTACTAGTTTGAAATCTGCAATAAAACATGATCAGTAGAGGACAAAAATCAGGCCCTGTGAGATATTTTGAACAGCAGGTATACATTTTATTTATTTTGGCCTAACAATAACTTAAACAATTATCACTACCCTATGTATGAGCCACTACCAACACACACAAAAATAAACAAACATGACCCAAAGTTTACCCCTAAGAATTATAATGCTGTACATTATTATGTTATATTCAGTATATAACCTACATCTGTTACACCCATTGATTATTCAAGTTTTCCAATAAATAATAAAAATTTATATTTTCTGCCAGTTTTTCATATATTTACAAATGTAGGTCTAAGAATTAAGTAAACACTGAAATGTAAATGTCAACAAAGGATAGTGATTAAAACAAAGCTACAGTTGACTGATCTAGGTACATATTTCTGAGACAAATCTGTATCATTTACTTTTTAACAATTATATGTATAAAATCTATGTAGTTCTTAGCCTGTTTATACATCCATGATTGATTGATGTTTGCTTGTTTATTTGTGACTATTCTATAAAAGTTGTTTATCTTTAATAGACAGAAATCCAACAAAAAATAAAACAGAAGAAACAATTTCTAGGTCAGCATATCACACTTCAGCACTTCTCTTCAGGGGTTAAAAAATCCACTAGCCCGACGCCCGGGACTAGACTTTTACACTTCGGGCAATTAAAACTTGTAACCGAATATGCCCGACGGACTAGTAACAAACAATTCTTGGCATTTCCAAAATAGTAAGTGGAAAATCCCCTCATCACTATTCTATCTTAGCCAATTAGATTCAATTACGTACGTCATCCAGGATTCCAAGAATTTGAACCGATTTTGTACATGTTTTAAAAATAGAACAACTAACTCTGGGTGGACCGGTATCATGTATTGATCGCAATTCACGTACTTTCAATATCAATTTCTCAGTACAGGGGGTATTGTACATTGCTTATGCAGAGATTTTCAATTAATGGTACTTGGGTGTATGATGTAATGATCGATATTGACCTGTCTTGTCGGACAGCTGTTAATTTGAGCTTGAAACCATGCACAAATTATTTCTAAGCATTTTAGTACGGCCACCACAGGAACTTTGTCAGTTTTAAAACGAAAAACGGTAGATGAAGGGGGTAATGAGGCTGACAATTTATCCCAAAAAATGCCAAATACTACCAGGAAAAGCGGAAAAAAACATTTATAGTGTCATGGACAGAAAGATTCCCCATGGGCAAGGTCGACTGTTACTGATGATAAACAAGAGATGATGTTTTGTGAATATTGCCGTTATTTTCCCGATCTCGCTGATAAAAAGTCTGCTTTGTATGTGGGAACAACAAATATACGAATTGAACCACTGGTTTAACATGACAATATCAATGAACATGTTTTCTGTGCCCGAAAATATTTAACAACCCATAGTATAAGGGATATCCAAAAAAGATGTCTAGAGATCCTTGTTATAATTAATAAAACAAAAATTTATTTGATTTATTTTATCAAATACCGTGTATAATGCCGCATTCAAAACAAGGGACACCCACTCTAAATTTGAAAGGTATACTCGGGCTAGCAGGTCAGTTTTGATGGGCTAGCAGCTCTTTCAACAGGGCTAGTAAAATCCTGCTACCAATAAGTCCTGGGCTAGTGAGCTGTAACAAATTTTTTTAACCCCTGCTCTTAAAAGGATAGAAGAAATGGGAAACAAAAGTCCTGTTTATCAAGGCTTCAATTTTCTTTTTTTTCATGTTAATATGTTGCTAGATTTTCTAATAATAAATTTAAAGTATATACTGTAAATTCAGAAATTATTGCGTGCATTTATTATTACGTTTTTGTCATTTTAGACTAAAATGCGATTTTAATTTTTGCGATATTGAGAAAAATCCCGTTTAATTCATATAAAAAAATTTCAAAATGCAAGTTTAAATTATTGCGATTATAATTCTGTCGCATTTTTCACAATAATAAAAACATCGCAATAATTTCTGAATTTACAGTAAATGAAAGATATCTTCAATTGTCATCACTATCAAGCATATTTTTTAAAATCTGATTTACAACATGAATATCTCCCATCATCCATGTCATGTGATTTGACTTTTTAACCTCCATGCTGACCTGACCATTATCTTGGAAACTTGTCATGTCATAAAATCTGCTTTTTCCCTAAAAATTTCATGCATATAAACATACCAGACAGAAATATGATAATGACTATATTTTTAATTTTTGTTTCAACTGATAAGAATAAGTGTTTCTTCTAGTACATTTACATTCTAATTTAACACTGTTGATACATTTGTTATCAAATATTCAGGCCAAAGTTAACTGGGGTACAGAAATATGGTCATTTGCAGTCATAGAAATTGGGGTTTGGCATTTACAGGACCGAATTGATGATTCTTCAAATTTTTCTTAGGAATGTATTACAAAATTAACAAAAATTGACAGGACCAAATATATTTTTACAGGACATGTCCTGTTAGTCCTGTGCTAATTTCGAGGACTGCATTTGGTCTTCTCTTGCCCAGCAGTACAGCCTATGACCAAGGGGATATGTTTGAATGTGTAGGATGCATAAATATGCTGTCCCATATGCTCAAAAGAGACTTTAAATTTTATGCAACGTGTAGGGAGAGTGCCATTTTCTCTCCGGCTGAATCAACAAGACCTCAGTCTTCACGCTGTACCACAGGCCTGTAGATTTAAAAGTTAATCGTGAAGACTAAGACCTGTACCGATTCGTTAAAATTGGTGCAGTCAAGCTAGTAAAATTCATTGTTTACACTTTACAGGCAAATATAATGTCTCTTAGTTTGGGCCTTTCAAGTTAGTCAATTTATTTTGAAACAGACTGCCCTTTGCACATTAATGAACCCTTGCAACAGCACCACTTATTTCTGTAGGTGGCATGTACATGTAACAAGGCAAAACTTTAATTATTGTAGGTGGCAATTTACAAGACAAAACATTTATTTCTGTAGCCAGTGTAGGTGGCATGTTACAAGACAAAACTTTTTATTTCTGTAGGTGGCATGTTACCAGACAAAACTTTTATTTCTGTAGGTAGCACGTTACAAGACAAAACTTTTATTTCCTTTTTATATAAAGTGCCAGTCCATATTTCTCACCTTTCAATCTGGTCAACCAATATTGCAGAATATAACTATTGAATTTCATGTTAATTTTGATCTCATCCTGAATACTGTAAAATCAGAAATTACTGAGAGGTTTTTATTAATGTGAATAACGCAACTGGGTGTGTATCGCAATAATATGAACTCGCATCATGATATCTGATGCATATATATGTATGCAGATTTCTCTGAAATCGCAATAATTAATCTTGCATTAGTGTCCTTACTTCAAAAACGCAATAATAAATGCACGCAACAATTTCTGAATTTACAGTATTCTGTACCAAATTATTCTAATTTCCCATTTTTCTTTTTATTAAAAAAAAAAAAAAGGATTTTTGCAGTTTGCACCAAAATCTTTTCGAACTACTAGTGCGAAGACCAATATTCCAACACTTTTCTTATGTGTCTAAACAAATATTAGCAAAAAGTTACTAGTCCGATTACAATTTTACTAGTCTGGGGCATGGGACTAGTTGCTAATGGTGCAGACTGCTTTTGCAATGTAGATTTATATCAAATTTGGGGAATCCACATATCTACCTCCAAACATAAATAAAATAATCAAAACACTTGTCTCAAAAAGATACTAAAAATATTTAAATTCCCATGACTTGTAACAATTCTCTTATTTATACAAGCACTATATAACCTGTGTTTAAAAGTCATTTCAAGAACAGTAACCCTATAACAGCATTAATCATTTTTGTATATTATAATTTAAATATTATATGGGCTGTATTCAATAAAATATTTGATTTGATTAAAGCCCAGTGTTTTTGGGACTACCCTCCTAAGAAATACTTTACAACACATATGTTTGTACAAATATAAATCTGTATTGTTGGGTATTTTCTTTTGTTTTTGGATATATTTCCTTTTCCTTATACTTGTATGTTTATTGATATATTTTTGTAAATCTACACTAAATTATCTACAAAACGGTGTATAACATGCCTATCTATATTGTCTGAATCATTTGTAGCATGCCTTAACTTCCAAGTAGGGTCAACTGTAAATCATTTCATCTTCTCACAGTGAAATGCTAATGTTAGATTCATGTAATTGTTAGAAAATAGTTATATTGTTAACAATGTTTTTTTTGTTTTATTGTATCTGTAATGATTGATCGTGTTAAATTTTGTAATGCACAAAAGGCCCGGTAATTAGGAAATAAAAAATTTGATTTGATTTTGTAATTCATTAATTGGTATATGTACATGAAATCAACATTTATAAAAGTAAAATTAAAATATTTAATAGTCTCTCATACAAGGACTGTAATTCT